ACACTGTTACGTTTGTCTGTTTGTGGTCATCCAACGATGTAGCTTTTGGGTTGACTAACTTCAACCAAATCTCACTAGGAAAAGGGCCAATTACAATGGCGTAAATTTTTATCCATGTATAAAATTTTATAGAATTTTTTAATCTATGATTGGTACAGATATTTTTGTACCCGGTAAAATTTTATGAGTTCGAACCTCAACAACAGCAGGGTAAGGATTATGTCTAAGTGGACAGATCATTGAGTTACCGTGATTTACATTCTCCTAAATACTCTTTTGGCAGGAATAAGACACCGTAAAAATTTTCAAAAATTTTAAAATATTTATAATGCGGTAAGTATACTTTATAGAGTACTATAAAGTAGATCAAGTAATTAAAGACCGTATTATTTTATTTTTATTGGTGGAGATTAAAGACCGTATTATACAACTTCATTGAATATAAAATAACATTACACGTGACACCATAAAAATTCCCTGTATATAAATGCATTGTGAAAAGTAATGTGAGCTTGACAAGGAAGCAATTTCTTAAAACATGAAAAATATAAAATTAAAAAAAAAAAAAAAAACATGTCTAAAGAATATATAATCAATTATTTTATAGTACAAGTAGATTGTGGTTCATGAGCTCCTGCAGGGTGAAAAGCCCAGGCCAAGGTGAACTTCAGCTTCAGTCTTCCTAATTTTTTTGTCTCACAACTCTTACATTGATTACAAACTCAACTATGAATAATTAGCTTAATTACTCTTCACAGGTAAAAGGAATGGTCTATAGCATAACATTAACAAACAAAACTAACACAAATACTTAGTTACTTCCACGGGTTCAGTAGTTTGTGCTGGGCGCCAAGTTGAGTCCTCAAGACCATTTGTTCCCTCGGGGATTATGTCGATAGGCATTCATCCTCGAGTGTGATGTGTTTGATAGAGTTTGCGCGTATTAGAAAGTTTGAACACAGCATTTCAGTTTCCTGAAGTGGAGTCGTTCCTGAACTGTTGATCTCCTCCCATGGGAGGAAGGAGAAGGGCGAGCCTGGTTTTGTACCTTGCAATGCGCCTAAGCCTTTCTTCTCTTAATCTGTGAATTTCTCGGTCACAGCAAGACATATCACATTAATTCGATGAAAGAAAACCAAAAGTCAGCCTTTCTCGTGCCATCATAAATTCGAAAGGGTAACAGTTCTTTTAATTATAATTCTTCCCAAAAGGTTGAATCCCCAACCCCAAGGGCCCCCCACACCAATGCAGAAGAGGAATAAGATGACGAATTTAAACTACGTTTTAAAGTATTTGATCCTCCATATTTTCTATCGTCTCCTTTGGTTCGTTTTGCCTTGTTTGGATGGGGAGGTGGAGACTGGGGAGGCATATTTGGTCAAATATATTCTGAATCATAAAATTGCAAAGGATTGTGAAGCTTACTTGGACCTAATTCTCTTTGCACGCTTGACATGTATTTGCAAAAGCTTTTCTGTAGATAAATGCTCAACTGATACATCATCCTGAAATTAAAAGAAACCAACATTATTTATCCATTTCCTATGCAGAAGAATGCATTGTCAAGATCGTTGCCTTGATAACTTTTAAAAAATATATCATGACCTTGGCATTACTTACAAGTTGAATCTACCATACTTTAGAATCTGTATTCCTACGAGTAAGGGATACTCACAGGGCTCCAGTTCTTAGGAGGGTATTCCTTAGTTAATGTCTTTTCAAGATATTTGGCACTCAGCAGAATTCAATAAAGTATGATATATTTGGTTGATACCAATTACACTGAAGGCAATGGTTAGTAGAATTTTCCGACTTTGGGATCAGTGCTCATAAATTAAGAACTCACCTCTTCCTCTTCTCCTTTATCTTCTTCCTTCTTTGCAGGCGACTCAGCATCTTGTGGAGCCATAGGCAAAGGCCTGGGAAGAGACTTTACAACATCCATATATTGTGGCTGCCATATGGAAGTAGGATAATTACATTCACCAAAAAACACTATTATTGTATGTAATCTGGAAGTAGGATATCAGAAAGTTCATTTAAGGGGGAAAATGAATGTGACAAAATCTAACAGAGAAGAAAACTTCAGTTATTCAGACCTGAGTCGCTTCAGGAAAACCATTCCTCAACCATGACCGACAAAGAGCATAGAGTGAAGCAGTATCAGAAAGTTTGACCTGCAATAGTAAACAAATTTAATTTTACCATTAAAAACAGAACTTTCCTCAACCAAGCTACAAGTTCAGAGAAAATAGAGACTAATATGATTGTCCACAAAACGTCATGGATATCATATTACATACAGCACCATCAGACTATAAGAGTGCCTGGTGCCCCTAGTCAAAGGAGATCAATTATAAAGTCAGATCATAGTGATTATAACTTTTCGAAACATTTAGGTCAACATGAGTACTACAAGAGTAAAAATATTCCTCTGAATTCGTTCAGAGAAACTATGCAACAAGTAGCAGGAATCTACCTTTTCCACTTAATATAAGTTCCTTTCCTCTAGAGCCCCCAACCACAACCTCCAAACCAAGTGTTCTTCAAAGATTTCTCAAACTACAAGAGTTTAAAAGGGGATAGGATCCTTCAAAATTAGTTTTTGAATCTTATGGAGCAACAATGTTAAACATCTTAATTGCTCAGTAGGATATACTTGATTAGCTAAGATCTGTTCAAATTGATGCAGACTTCTCCACATTTGAAGGATAAAAACCTTCTTCATTTCTCTTCAAGTACAAGAAACAAACTATCTTCCAATAGCAGCATAAGGAAGCACTAGTGCATAAAAAAAGGAACAGGATCCTCTGCTGATACATTCAAATGTTGTAATTCTCCAGTAATGGAAAAATGCCAATAAATTAGCACAATATATTAGTAATTTGCTAATTTGCTATGTCAATTTTTCATGAGATAAAACCAAGACAGAGGCATTCAATTTTATATGTAATAAATCTTTTAACAGCAGACATGTGAATATGTGATGCACACTTTATTACAGTAACTGTTGTAACTCATTTCAGTGACAAAAGAGGAGCTAGTTTATGATAGTAAAGAAAGCAACATTTACTTTTATATCTATACAAGCAGCTAAAAAAAAAAGCATTCTCTGCAAGTGTTTAACTTAGAGAAGGAGCCAAAGAAGGGAACTGAGTAAAGGGGCAATATGCTTACCTTCCTTTCTCTAACTATTGCAAAAGAATCATCTTTACTCCTGTCCCTGCAATGAATAGATAATTAAGAATTTCAATATGAAAATATATGGAGCCAGGTGTGACATCAAAAAACTAGATGAAAGAAAGGATTTTACCTTCCATCTTTTGAGCCACTGAAATCAGAAAAAGAAGGCAGAGGTGGAGCCAGCTAGAACAAAACAAAATGAACATCAAGTTAATAGAATAATAGGTCAGAAGTTACCTTAATGAGCTTGGAAATGTTATAAAGACTTAGAATAGCCAATTCATTGTGTGAAATTGAAGATAGGACCTCAATTTACCAATTAAAGTCACACCAAAGAAATCACCCTAAGTTCTAACTTTCTTAAATTAGAACAGTTTTTTTCTTTAGAACAAGAACTAAATATAGCATAAAAATAATTATGAATAGGAAACCTCTCTGATTTCCATTCTTAAGTTTTGATTCTCAATTCTCTGCTTTCCAAATGTGCATACTTATTATCCATTTTCTTTTCTCTAATTCTTCTCCATTCTTCAGAAATCCTTTACTGCCTTCTGATTAACTAAACGAAACTTGAGGCATTACAGTTTTAAATGCCAATAGAGAGTTTCATAGCCAGAAATCGAAACAATTAAATCCGCTTTCAACTTCAGTTAGAAAATCAAAAGCATTAAAGTACCTTTGGATGCGCAGAAGTAACTGGAACACCTTTGACAACAACAGGCATAAGAGGTGCAGCATTGGCAGTAGAATTAGCATGAGCGGCGGAGGCAAGATGCGCGTGGGGCAAATTGGTCGGCCTGGAGAAGCCCAAGCCCTGCCCCAAACCCGGATCCATATGAGCAGAAGAAATCCCGAAGGGGGGAATAGAGGAGGAGTACCCAACCGCAGGTCGGGCCAGATAATTAGTTTGATTAGGAGTAGGCGCGGCAGGTCTGGAGAGAAAGCCCCGGCCGGAGGAAGCGACTGGATAGAGAATGCTATGATGCTGCGGCTGCGGCTGCGGCGGCGGCGGAGGAGGAGCGGTGGAAGGGTCGGAGTGCGGGGGGCGGGGAGCTAATTGGGAGTAAATGGGGGTTTGATTTGAAGAGAACCGCTGAGGTTGTGGAGGGAAAGGATGTGGCTGTGCAGTGACAGGTGGTCTTGAGTTGGAATATAGAGGTCTCGTCGTCGTCGTCGTCGTCGCCGTCGCCGCCGTGGCGGGAGCAGCTGAGGCGGAGGAGGAAGGGTTGGGTGGTGGCGGAGGAGTAGAGATAGCCATGGCTGATGATGGCGCGGAATTTTTTGGTTTGGGGAATTTTCTTTTGTTTTTATTTTTTGTAAAAGAAGATTCCTACTTCAATTAAGAGTTTGAAATTCGCAAATCGTGACAGTGCGGAAGCGGTAACAGAAATTGAATACACGTGTTAGTCCAACGCCGTGTGGAAAGAAATTTCGGATGATACGACGTCGTTCGCAATTACCATTACTCAATTAACCGAGAATTTTTTTTAAATAACATATTTCTGAATATTATTGTAATTATTGCTTTAAAATTAACAAATAAAGTATTATCCGTACCCATATTACCATGGCTTAAAGGATGTGTAGTTTTTTGTAAGTTCCAATTAAAAATAATATAAAAATGAGAAATTGAAATGATTGTCATTTGACGACCACTCTAATTGTCTAATAAGTACATGCTGTTAGGCATTATGATTCTCAATTGTGTTTTTATTTTTCTTTTTTAATTTAGAAAACAATTCTTCGACAAGAATTTAATTTATTTTTTTTTCTCTCACATCACACTCTTTCTTCCAACACAACACAAAACCCACCAAAAAATCACCATTGGCATTGCCTTTGTAGTCATAAAATCACTAATGGAGTCATAGAATCATTATAAGTAAACACATGTTTCCAAACTACTGATAGAAACCGGCCATGGAATTATCGGCCTTGCTTCCAAAGAACTCTTTTTCTTTTTGCTCCAATACAATCGGGCATCAATAGGGAAGCATCAAAGCCAATTACTCCGGGGACCTGCTTTTTTGGTAGTAGGCACTCTGCAGAATACATAGATACAAGGAGATGAACTCAACAATTCAAGAATCAAGAACTAATCAATAAACATTTAGCAACCTGAACTAACAATTAAGTTCTCATCCACACCCATGCTAAATGCAAAGGGAAAGGTATGCGAGTCCTAAGAGATAATAAACGCCTATAGAATACACATCATGAAAAGCATCCCGCAATGCAAAAGGAAAAGTATGTGAGTCCTATGAGATATTAATATCCATAGAATACATATCATGCAAAGCATCCCGCAATGCAAAGGGAAAGGTATGTGAATCCTATGAGATAGTAAATGTTCATAGAGTACACATCGCCCAAAGCATCCATGATGATGGAAAGATATGTGAGTCCTATGAAATAGTAACATCCATAGAATACACATCAGACAATGCAAAGGGAAATGATGTGAGTCCTATGAGATAGTAAATGTCCATAGAATACATGTCATGCAAAGCATCCCGAGATTCAAAGAGAAAGGTATATATGTGCGTCCTATGAGATAGTAAATGTCATAGAATACACATCATACAAAGCATCGCATATCCTCCCAAATAAATAGAACACCTGCACAAACACTGAGATTCTAGTACTGGATGTAGTACTTGTCATATTTAGGCAATAGTAAGTAGTAACACAGAATGTCTAAGGAGGCAGAGTTCCTGTTCCTTGGTTAATTTTTGGAACCTCATGATTGAGCTAGATGCATACAAGTGATCAATGTCATTGAGAATATGGAAATCTGAAAATCTTGAATGCAAAAATTGACTTTGATAATGTTGGAAAAACATTGACCAATAGAAATCTAGAATGAATACAATATCAAGTCCAATAAGATACAAGGATTTACCAAAATAAAGAAGAGACATTTTTATTCCTTGTTGAGCATATTTAGTTGCCTAAGTGAAATACTCAAATTGCTACCATCTTTCTTACTGCATGAAATACTTTCTACACATTGGAGATAACGAACGCAAGGAACTGAATTGAGCAGACCAATTTCAGATGAATTAAGAATGAACGAAACCTGTAGAACTTCATGAACAACTTTGATTTGTTTCCATCACCAGTCCAAAATGATTCTGATTCTGGTACAAAAGATCAGTTACTATTCTTTAACTCGCAACTTCTACAAGAATGTTTAAATGGCGTATATCGATATAACTATTAGAATTAAGCATTAACCATATGACTGGAAAATGTTGAGCATCAGATAGAAGCCAAATGTTCACACCATCTAAGCAGAAAATATGGCTATCAGGTAAAAATGTAAAATAAATAAATAACAATCAGGTGATCAGTAGATCCAACATAACATTGCATCATACATGATATCAGTCACCTAAATCAAATAGGCGAGAAAATATGGCTAACCAATTTAATCACTATCTTTTGTTCTTCAGAAACAGCAGAATATACAGTTGGCATCTCCAATCAAAGTCACCTAACAGCAAGTAACAACAGTAAGAGTCTGTTCAATCACCGAATTCACATATTAAAACTGGAATTTGAACACAAGCACATGGAGATACCAGATAGTCAGATACACTGCTACTCCTAATTTTACATTTTCAGATGGAAAACTGGAAAAGGAAACATTCTTTCAAATAACGCAAACAGAATAAATTCGAAAAACATCAAATCAAATTAAGTATAAACAGAGTACCAGACAACGATTCTTCAAGCTTTCACTAACCAGGCAGAAATGAAATGCACAATGATAAGCAACGAGCAAACGTCTGAAGATAACCGGACTAAATGAGAAAACAGCACACAAATAAACCGATCATCCTTACGTCTATGGCAGTCGCGGCAACGAGAAAAAAGGCGGTTCCAGAACTCAGAATTTCGATATTCAAAATTTTGGGAATTTATTTGGGGATAATGATGTATCGGGTCTGATTATTGGGTCTTACCTAATTCGACTAATCCGCGCCAAATTTCTATAACTTTTCTACAGGCCCAATATTCAGGCCACCTTCAGTGAACGGTCGCAAATATTCACAATTTAAATAATAAATATTTACAATTTACTTTTTAAAAATTCACAATTTGTATACTACAAACACACAATATTAACATATATATAACTGATTACCTTATTTCGTATTTACAAGTTCCTTTCAAATAGTGCATTCGCACGAGAAAAATACTTCATGTACTCTCAAAAATCTACTTCCAACTTTTACTCTTACTTGTGTTCAATTTTGATTGGTGGAAGAAAAAAATGAATGGATAAACATCATGGCCCTTATTAAATTGAGCAATTAAAACATGTCAAATCATAAGGAGTAGAGATTGAAAGTACATGCAAAATTACTTGTTGCACAATATTAACATATTAGGATTTGATGACCTTATATTGTATTTACAAATTCTCTTTGTGTTTTGATTTATAAACAAAATTTATATTTTAGAAGTTTACAATTCTAAATTTTCAATACTAAAAATACACAATTTATACATAATTTATGACCAAAATCTACCTTGTAAGATGGACCTTGATCCATGATATAACAACTCCAAATAAATGAGAACTTCTATTTATATTTTATTATAAATACCCAATGAAATAGCGGAGTCAGCAAAGACCATTGAGTTGAATATGTTAACCCCACCTCCACGTTTAAAAATAGAATATATTTAATAATTAAATATGAATTGTAATTATGACATCATATGGTATAAAATTTTGCTCTTATTTTTTAATAGTTTTCCAATTTCATTACATTATATCTATGTAAATTTTGAATCTTCAAAGTCTTCATCATAACTAATCACTAATAGATTAAAATCAGTAAATAATTCTTCAAGTTATCAGTGGGGTTCAAACTCCCACCTCTACCACTAAAAGCAAAATTAAATGTCGATTGAACTACTTGAGCTATTCAATAGGCACATGTCCAAGATTTAACTTTGCACAACATATTCCAACCACTTTCACTTCTCTGTGTACTATAAAAAGTTTTTGTCCCAACCAACAAATATATAAAAACAAGAGAGTTACTACTGAAAATCTGTAATGGCCTTGTCAAAATTAAGGTACGAGTAAACAAAATCTTTAATCCCTAAATTATAAATATAATAAAATTTTAATTCTTAAATAATTAAGTATTAAAATTTTGACTAATATGACACTTCAAAAAATCATTATACTACCGATCATAGTCCACATTGCAATTTTCCATTTTAAGTTTGAAATGTATTAAGAGGGGGAGGGAATTGAAGCATGTGTTCAATCTCAACTAAAAGTCTAAGTTGATAGTTGGATTACCCCTCACGTGTGCGCAACACGTGGACCGTAGTCGCTTATCGGGTAACATGGAGATTCGAATCCATGACCTTTGGGCTGGCTCTGATACCAAATATATATATATATATATATATATATATATATATATATATATATATATATATATATATATATAGGGATGTCAATTTAGCCCGAACCGGATGGACCAACCCGATAAAACCGAAACCGACAGGGCTATGGCCCGAACGGGCTAGCCCGATAAAACACATTAGCCTGACGAGTCCGAAACCGATTAGCCCGGTGGCCCGATAGGGCTAGCCCGGAATTAAATGGGCTAGCCCGACAACCCGAACTATTGAAAACTATTTTTTTATAATAGAAGTGATGTGAAACCTAACATACATGGAATAATTATTATAATTAAAAATAAATAAATAAATAAATAAATAAATATATATATATATATATATATATATATAAAATTTAAAATAAAACTTAAGTTTTTAGTTTTTTTTTTTTTTAATTTAAAACAACATTAATCTAATATTTTGACTAAAAATTGATAAGGACGGAATTCTTCGTCCCTGCCAAATTCTCCGCGGGAACGTAGATAGGGACTATTTTCAATTTTTCATTGAGGACGGAGACGGGGAGTATACGTCCCGCACCTGCACCCGCTCCGCCCCGCCCGCCCCGTTGTCATCTCTACTCTAAATATGGGTACTCACTTTCAGTTTTTAATTTTAGTTCAGATGGTTCAACCCGCCCGATTAGCCCGACAACCCGAAGTTTAGGGTTAGGGCCAAACCGAACCCGAGAATAAAATATTAATAAACCGATTAGCCCGACAACCCGACAGCGCTAGCCCGAAACCGAGTGTGCTGGCCCGATTGACATCCCTATATATATATATATATATATATATATATATATATATAACCCATTTTAAGATTAAAGTTTAATCTACCTATAGATTTTTTTTTGAGTACTACTGACTTTGTTACAATGCAATATTTATTCATAACAACTTTATCAACCAACTAAAACACAAAGAGTCAATACAACCTCCCATATAGGAAAGCACTTGGTGCTATCAGACCACAAGTTCAAATAAACTATTTATTATACTCTAATACGTTCAAAAATTATTTTAATTTTTTTTTTCAATTTTAGAAATTTTGTCCTTAGAAAGAGTTAATTCTACCGGAGGTCCCTTGTCTTTAGTGGTAATTCCAAATTTAGTCCCAGACTATCGTTTTTGTCATTTAACATCCTATACTATTATTTTTTGGACACTTTTAGTCCTTTTCATGAATTTTCATATTTTTAGTAAAGCATTTTTGTCTCTTCATATTTTTCTTTTGTTATTTTTTTCTAATTTCAACTGGTTTAAGCGGTTTACTAAAAATCGGTTGAAAAATATAGTTACTAAAAATCAGAGGTTAACTAAAGTTTTAAACCGGTTGAAACCGAAAAAATAACAGAAGAAAAATATGAAAAGACAAACATACCCCTACTAAAAATAGGAAAAGTATCTAAAAGATAATAGTTTAGGATGTTAAAGACAAAAACGATAATGTGAAATTCAATTTGAAATTGCCACCAAAGGATCCTTTGGTGGAATTAACTCCCTTAGAAACAACAAAGCGGAAAAAAAAAAATAGTGGGAATCGCACGTCTGCCAACTCGCACGTGCTAGCGCTTCAGGATTCATGAAGCATTTGAAAAGAGGATTGTGATTCGAATAATGTTTATACATTTCAACTTCATGTAGAATATGAATATCTTAATGAGGTTTTGTTATAAATTTTCACTTATAGGTGATTAGTTTTTTTTTTTTTTTTTTGAAAACCAAGGCCAACTATATTTCATTAGCCATATCAGGCAAAATAAATGGAGGTGGAACATTCCTCCACGTGGATCGTGACAAACTAGCACTTACATGCTTAGCTAAAGAATGAGCCGCTTGATTCGCGACCCTAGAAATAAAACTAATCTGAGAATCAGGCATAGAAGAAAGTAAACGAAAACATGAAAGCAAACTAAAACCAACATAGGAACGAAACGAGCTACTGCTACTTAGACATGAAACAAGAACTGAAGAGTCACTGTAAACTTTAGCCGTCGAATAGCCGTTATCCTTTAGCCATGATAGAGCTTCGCACACCGCCATCGTTTCTGCCATAAGGGGGTTGTAAGGACACACCATCGGGCCATTCACCGCAGCTACAAAAACACCATTCTCCCTCACAATGAAGCCAAAAGCAGCGGCATGTCCAGGACCGTGAAAACCAGCATCCACACAGCATGTAATACCCTGAGCCGAAGGTGTGTGCAATTGCCTTGGTTGCCGCGCTAGACTATTCGCCACACAGTCACTCCACGCAGCCCATCTCGCTGCAAAGACCCGGCACAGCACCTGAGGGGAAGGTAACTTCGCCTCCCACACAGCTGAGTTCCTAGCCATCCACAACTCATGAATGAGACCGCACATCATCATCCCCTGTGTTTCACGTGAATAACCAGCCGCACCACCCAGCCATAACTCTGCCCAATGCATAAAATCAGAACCATTAATCTGGGGTTTCGGGAGCTGAGAAGCAATCCAAACACGAGAAGCATATTCACAGGTACAGAAAATATGCATAATACTCTCTTCTAACAAACCACAAGCAGGGCAAATATTCAATAAATCCACTCGTCTTATAATTAAATTATCAAGCGTGGGCAAAATATTAGAAAGGGCTCTCCACATTAAATTTTTCCATTTCGGAGGTATGTTTAGCCTCCAAATTCCGTTCCAAACCGCCGAGCCGTGTACATGGATTTCCCCAAGCCGCTTATAACCCTCCTTTACCGAATAGCAGCCCCGTAAATCTCCTTCCCAGTACCACACATTATCATGCACTAAATTAACAGGCAACTGCACTATCTGAGACGCAACATGCGGATCAAACAATTGTTGAACATAAGGAATATTCCATGAGCACAAATCAACATCAATAAGATCCGAGACCAACATATTGTGAATTATACTCGACTGGCTTGCAGGTACAAGAGTCCCCTGAGTACCTGGCAGCCAAGGATGGGACCAGACCTGCGTGGATCTGCCATTACCAATACGCCGCTTACACCCCGATTTCACCAGCTCCTGACTAGCCATTATACTCCGCCAGACATAACTTGGATTGCCCCCTATGACAGCATCAAAGAAAGAAGTAGTAGGATAATACCTTGCCTTAAAGACCCGGGCTACAAGAGAGTCTGGACATGTCAGCATCCGCCACCCCTGCTTACCTAGCAATGCCAAGTTAAACTGATGCAAGCGTTTAAACCCCATGCCACCATACTGCTTAGGCTTACACATTCTGTCCCAGGCATACCAGTGGATACCATCCTCCCTGTCATTTCGGCCCCACCAGTATCTGTTCATTAATCTTTCGAGAGAAGAGCATAAAGTTAGAGGTAACAAAAAGATACTCATGGTGTAAGTAAGCATGGCCTGCGCTACACTCTTCAATAAGACCTCCTTACCAGCCCTGGATAACAAACGCTTGTTCCAAGAACCAAACCTTTGTTTCAACTTTTGCTCTATATATGCAAAAACCACCTTCCTATTTCTTCCAATAACCAAAGGCAGACCCAGATACTTA